GAAACAGAATGGTGACTTCGGTACTCTTGTTGACGATGAAGGAGTGATACCAGAGCACGATGCGGCCAGCGAAGTGTCTGTGGAGGTTGAAGGAATGGCTAACAGTGAAGCAGCAGCGTCAGCAATTCCTGAAGTTGCTCGAATCGAGCCGTTGACGAAGAAGGTGTCTGGCTGTCCCACGATGACAGAGCATAACAGGGCTCTCGTGGGCAGGCCAGCTGGGAAAAAATTGCACTCGGACACCGCTACAGACACATTCAGAAAGAGTCCGGGAATGAATTCTCAAACTAAAATCGGGCCAGAGAAGCTTCCATCTCAAAGATCAAAATTGTCGGAATGGTTTCTGCAACTCTGTTTGCCGGCAACGATGGAGCAGAGCAGGAAAGATAAGCAATTGGTCGGGACACTGGGGAGTGCGTCGAGACTCGCCGCCGACGCCGATACATTCCTCCCAACCCCAGTAACGTCACTAGTAGCTCCAACGAAAGAGGACATGCTGAAAATTGCAACGTTGAATTCCCCAGAACCACCTCTGTTTGTGACGAAGAAGGCTGATCAAGACCCCTTATTGCGCAAAGTTATCCATCTCGATTCCAGCCGAATTCGTGCTGCAGAAACATCAAGGGAGTCTTTGGGAAGGTGTAGGAGTGGTCAATTCAACACAAAGATGATCGAATCAAAAACGCCCAAAATTGAATTGAAAATTCTGGGTTCCCAATTTTTGAATTTCGGGAACGGCGGGAAGGAGAGAATCGCATATTCGAAGGTGATGGTGATGATTCGAGACTGGGGACATGTCCAAATATTCAATTGGAATCTTGGAGAAGAGCGCGGAGTGGTTGAATTTGATTGGGAATCCTTGAAATAAAAATCCCAATTCCTTCGAGCAAGAACATGTGTGAGAGTGACGTCCGACGACCTGGGCATTTTAACGATCGCTTTTTGGTAAAATTGGACATTCCTACAGGTTCTAATAAATGTCAGGAAGTTTTCTTTGCCTCGCTGCAAGTGCCAAACCTGCTGGAACAGATTGAAGCTACCCTTGAAGCTGTTAAAATTCTGCAGAAAATTGTGTTTGAGCAGGCTACTTTCGATCCAGTTTGGGATCAATTCTGCGAAGCTCTTGATAAAAGGAAGGATCAAGCTTTGAGGTCAAAGCCTTTTCAAAAGGGGGAGCCTGATATGATCCCAATTGGATCAATCCACAATTCACAATTGCTTGCCAAAGAAATAATCTCAACTCACTTGAAGAATTCTGATTTTTGGCTAAGTGTTGAAACAGTTCCAGGTAGCCTACTTTGGAAAACTGCCAGAAAATGGCTAAGGCAAAAAACTGTTTCGTGAAGCCTACTTTGGAGCTCAATTCAACGAGTATGGATGTGATTCAAGTCCAAAGGCTTCCACAACATGAAACTAGGTATGTTTGTGAACAAAGGAAGGAATTGGATGAAGAATTGGAGTTCTCGAAGGCCTCGAACAAAAGGCACGAAGTTAGTACAAAAGCTGCCTTTTGACTGTTTTGCTGGCAGCTTACTTATGCGTCAAGAAATGAAGTTTGTTGCCGAGTTTTGTACTTTTTTAGAGTTTGTTTTTACCTTAATTGTTTCCTAGGTACATTAGGTTTGTATTAGGTTTATTTCCCTTTAAATACCTTCTAGTTTTCGTTGTAAAAACATAAGACTTTGATTAATCGAAAAACAAACCTTTGGTTTTGTGCAAGTTGCGACTTGTTTGAGTTTGGTGGATTCCAAGCTTGTGAGCTTTGTATCGATTGAATATTCTCTTCAATCGTGGTCGAGCAGCTACCCTTTATACTATACGATCTTTCCCCAAGTGTGGAATTGTCCGTTGGTTCCGTTTTATCTCAATTTCGTATTAAGAACGCGTTGTTTTTTATTAGAGCTTAATCAATCTTCCGATTGATTGTTTGCTGCGTTACTTTGATAAAAATATACCCCCCAGGGTCGTATTACTTCTTCAAATCCCAAGTAAATAGGTGGGATTTACAAATCCGTGGGGTCCACAGATTTGGAGCCCCAAATCCGTGGACCTCACGGATTTGGTACCCTCCATTTTGGCTCAACAAACAATGGCTTTTGGACAAATCCTTCATGTGTTGGATTTAAAAACCAAATCCCATATCTAAATCCTTGAAGCAAACCACCATAATTATTCTTATATGGACAAATCATGCTCGTACTCATTTCGATATGTTATTCGAGTCAACTGCAATTACTTTACCAAAGTCATTCGAATCCTTTGCTTTCTCACACGTGCAACTAAAATGGAAGTGTCTACCTCGTGACACATTTAATTTAATTTTCAGGAATTGATATACTAAAATGGACAATTTAGACAACAAAAAACTGTGGCCAATATGGAAAGAGTGATAGTTGTCGCAGTTATATCAAACCTCCATTACCAATTTGTTGTTAAGGGACAAAGCATAATGACCATTTATGTCACTAAGCCGTTTATTAATTTTGATTTAGCAGAAGGCATGGACTTGTATGGCAAATGGCAATGGCTGTAAGTCGCATGCCTTTGTCTTCCACGTTTTCTGTGTTGGGAATCTACAAGAGGAGCCATAATGGGGAGTCAATGACATTGCGGTGGCCATATTGCCACTGTCCAATAATTTCTTTTTTTAGTTAACACTAATCTTGTTATTGAGTTTGGACTAAATAGATTGAATTAAAATTAATTGAATTAAATAAATAATTTTAATGGATAAATTAAATTGAATTGAATTCATGAATATAAACCATAATGACTAAATTACAGGTTTGATCACTCGAATTACATAAATCTTTCACGTTTGCCACCCAAATTATTTTTCTTTCATATTAACCACTCCTTTACAATTTGTTTCACCGTTGGTCACCCTCCGTCAGTCTCCGTCAGACTCCGTTAACGCCGTCAAATTTTTTATGACGTGGCTACGAAAGTGCTGACTAGGCTGACAGAGAGGTTGAGTTTGACTGCCTAGTTAGCCACACTACACGACCCAGTGAAGAACGGCCCGTTTTTGCAGTTCATTTTAATTTAGTTTTACTTTATTTTTTTTGTACAATTTAACTATACTTTTTGTTAGACCAAGTAAAAAAGAAGGGGCAGAAGAAGGGGTCTGCTCATTCTTCTTGTCGATTCCCTTTCTTCACTGCTGGAGGCGAAGGACGCCAGGGAAGACGACGATCGTACAGGGAAAGCGAGGATAAGGGCAGAGGAAAGAAGCGGTCCACTCACGTCGATCGGGCAGGGGAGGTTGACTTCGTCTTCTTTCCCTTTCTTCTCTGTTGGAGGCGGTCGATCGGGCAGGAGAGGAGGTTGCGATCGACAGGGAGGCGGAGGTAAGCACGACCGATCTTCTAACCTTCTCCATACTCTTCGTTCCTTCCTTCCACTCCTCATTTTGTTGGATGATCAGGGAAGATCGACAGAAACCCTAAAAACTTTTGAATTTGATCGACAGAAATCCTATTCTAATCTGCTTTGTGGTTGTAGTTCGACAAGAAGACATAGAAGCAAAGGTCACTAGCCCTTTCTTTTGGTTCGTTTTCACTGATATATGTGAGTTTGTGCTGCATGTAAACTAGAAGGTAAGGGAAACAGTGAAAGCAAACGATTTTATGATTTTCGGTGGAATCTTTGTTGTCATTTTCAGGGTTTTGGTCCCATTTGTGAAGCATTATGGTGGGTCATTTGAGGCAATCAAATGGCTGAGCATGAAGTACTTGACTTTATGGGTAGTGATGAAAAAGAAGATGCAACTCCACCTGCAGAAAAGGAAGTAACACAGAGAAGGAAACAACTTGAAAGGGCAGAAAGAAATAGGCTAGCGGTATTGAAGAAGTTGCAAGCTAAGGTTGCCAAACAAGCATCAAGTCAAGTGATGGTAGATGTATTATTTTGTCTTCTGTTTTCCATTTCTCATATTTAATATTCTTTTATAAGCCTACTTATGTAATTTCACTTTGTAGGGAAGTTCCCAGAGGCTAGTAAGTGAAGTGTCCCAGCAACCAAGCCAAGACTCACATAGGAGCAATCTATGAAGAGTAGGGTGTAGACTTTTGAAGCCATTCATGTCTATTGTAGTGCTTGGTTAGGTCAAGCTGAATGACTATATTGAATATTTTCAAGCCATTCATGTCTATTGCAGTGCTTGGTTAGGACAAGCAGAATGGTTGTCTTGTAATCGTATGTTGAACAGATTGTTGAACTTTAGGGGGACCAGTAATGGTAGTTTATTGAAGTAATAGGTGGCTCTTTTGATTAGCTCAAGGCATATAATGGTTGATGTAAAACACTTCTAGGTGTTCAGTAAAGTTTTGGCTTTTGGTTAAATTCATGTTCAGCAGGTTATGGTTGCATTTATGTTATGTATTGAATTGTTCTTTACAAGGTGTTACATTTCAATGAGAAAATATCATAGTGATACAAACGAAAGAAAACCAGCACCACATTAGCATTCTTGAAATGCAATCAAAATCATAGTGATACAGATGAAATATAAAAAACTCCGTAGTGGCTTCCGTGAAAATTAAATAACATTCCGGTAGTACAAATGAAACTGAAAGCACATTACAATGGTACAATTGAAACATAAACAACATTCTAGTGATACAAGTGAAGCAACATTTTCTTATTTCCCCAGCTAGATGAAACCAAATACAATGGCTATTACAGTGAAGATGCAAGCCATTTTGACACTTATTTTGTAAGCTCTCCTTAGTTCCCTTCTCTCTAGAGCTCCAATTCGACGATGGAAGCTGACCAAAACATTTCGCATATGCTCATCAAGGGCTGGTTCATACCATCTGAAATAATTGCATGCTCCGTTCGTCTATAGAAGAAAGCACAATTAGAGGAATTGTCAGAAACTAAACCCAAACAGAAGGTACATAAAAGGACAATAGTTTTTAGGGTTTCTGTCGATCTTCCCTGATCATCCAACAAAATGAGTTCGATAAGAAGAGGAGTGGAAGGAAGGAACGAAGAGTATGGAGAAGGTTAGAAGATCGGTCGTGCTTACCTTCGCCTCCCTGCCGATCGCAGCCTCCTCTCCTGCCCGTTCGACCACCTCCGGCAGAGAAGAAAGGGAAGGAAGACGAAGTCAACCTCCCCTGCCCGATCGACACGAGTGGTCCGCTTCTTTCCTCTGCCCTTATCCTCGATTTCCCTGTACGATTGTCGTCTTCCCCGACGTCCTCCGCCTTCAGCAGTGAAGAAAGGGAATCAACAAGAAGAATGAGCAGACCCCTTCTTCTGCCCTTTCTTTTTTACTTGGTCTAACAAAAAGTAAGTTAAATTGTACAAAAAAATAAAGTAAAATTAAATTAAAATGAACTGCAAAAACGAGCCTTTTTTCACTGGGTCGGGTAGTGTGGCTGACTAGGCAGTCAAACTCAGCCTCTCTATCAGCCCAGTCAGCACTTCTTTTTGCCACGTCATCAAAAATCTGACGGCGTTAACGGAGTCTGACGGAGACTGATGGAGGGTGACCAACGGTGAAACAAATTGTAAAGTGAGTGGTTAATATGAAAGAAAAGTAATTTGGGTGGCAAACGTGAAAGATTTATGAAATTCGAGTGACCAAACGTGTAATTTATCCAAATCATAATTGTCAGTTTAATCCGTTATCTGTGCATCAATCATGCATGAGTGAAATGTCTATTGGGAATTGTTTTCTTTGTATAGCTCTTAGGGGGTGGGCAATGAGCGGGTTGGGTGGGTTTTAGTCCCAAATTAACCGTAGGATTTTAGGATTTTGCTTAGGGATATCGATCCTGATTTTACTATAAAATCGGTGGACCTTAAAATCGTTCAAAATCAGGATTAAAATTGTTAAAATCGTAAAATCGTACCAAAATCGGGATTTTGATCCTTTGTGAACAAAATAGGCAGCTTGAGCCAATTCAAAAGAAGCAGAACTGTTTTCGGTGGAAAGGCAATGACGAGGATCTTCTCAGATATTTTTCCTATTAAAAGAACATTTGAAAATATAAAAAATTACCTAATTAGGGTTCGGTCAACCCCTTTCCCTTCTCCTTGTTTAACGTATCAGTAAAAATTGTCATAATACTGTAAGTACGTAAGAATTAACATCATTATTAACAAATTAATTGATTAATGAATATATTTGTACCAAACTAGTGACAATAATTATTTTTTTGTACCAAACCACCTTTTACCTTGACCCGTATGCAAAGTTGGTTCACTCCCAAACCGAATATAGAGTCTTCCTTGTGTCTCGTGTTAGGACATATTATTCATTCGTTTGAAATTTGTAATATGTTTTACGACGCACTAATATATCGTTTGAGTAGAGAGATACACATACATACATACATGTGCCAATGCAACTAGTTGTTAGAGCTCCTCTTTTGAATAAGAACATGTAGCTTTTAAGTGTTTTGGTATCTCAAATTTACTCCTCTTTCTTCTATTGAAAGCTAAGAGACCCCAATGTGTTCTGAAATCAATCCTCCTTCGTCCCCAGCACTCAGATATTCCTCCAGGAACACACAAACAGGGCCGCTGGGGATCGAACTGAGGACCACTCACATTCTGAACCAACCAGACCAACGGTTTCACCGTTAGGCTATATTACCTTTGGCATCGATGATTGCAATGCCATCTCCTCATTTTTGTCCTTTTCTGTCCAGCTCTCTCACACGCATTATTATTTATTATACCATCTCTACACAATATATTATGCACTTCACTCTATGTCATTGTTGCCACCTTGCACTTTGATTGGTTCTCCTTATTTGGTGGAAGGGCAACTTTGACAATTTTTCAAACACTCAAGGGTCACTCATTATTATTGGACTTTTGGTTTTCTTTTTAGTAAATGCGATTGGGATTAAGGAAAAAGAAGATTTGTTTTAAGGTACATGCTACATAATAATTATTTGAATTTTGCTCTGTGTAGATTTTTTTTGTGTGGTTAAGGAAAAAACAGAGGCTATCTAAAGTTGTTTAACTCCTAAATGAGGTAATGCTTGCGAATTGGATTTTGAGATGATAAAGATGATATATCGTTGTGGCGTGGACGTTTGTGAAGAGGAAGGAAGACGGGAAATCTTGGCAAAATACAATCAATTTATATTGTTTTAAATTCTTTTAATTTTCAAATTAGCATGTCTAATTTTTACATTAAATTTTGAAAGGTAAGATCGCATGTTTAGTCGTAGGTTATACAATAATTCAATCCATATCGTACCGACTCGATATTTGTGTCGAATTAGATAAAAAATCAATTTTTTTCACTCTATGTAATTGCTTAAAGTCGAGATAGTTTTTATTAGAAAATTATTAAACGTAAAATATGGTCCAATGGAATAACTTAAATGCTTCTTCAACCTCACTATGTTGTTATTTACATCTCAATAGTTCCATTAACGATTAAAAAATAGTTATATAATGATAAACCATTAATCATGAGTCATTGAAATTTTTCATCCGACAACCGCTCCGCTTTTGAAAATATAGGACATAGTCTATAAAATATTTAAAAATATGAGCATATTGTTAAAGGTTAAATTTGAATAATGACAACTAAATTTCAAATGATTGAATAACTTAAAAGGGTCATTTCAAGTGAAAATATTCTTTTGCTAATATTTTTCATTTTTGTCTCTTTCAAAAATATAAATTTAATACATCTATACTAATATTTTTGGATTTGCTTTACATAATTGTCCAAATAATCTATTTCCATATCACATTATTTCTCCTCAAATTTTTGTATCTTTAAACTATTTAAATGTAATACATCTATAGTAAATTTATGTACATTATTTAATTTTTAATTCAATAGATGACAATCAACTATATTTAAATTAAATTAGTAATAAAATTTTCAAAGCTTCATTTGCAAGGTAATTATTCAGATATAAGGAAGATAAAAAATTTGTTGATTTTTTTTTGATTCAGTGATGTTTAATATCTCAAGGCATGAATATAGATTCCAGATAGTTTTTCATTTCATTCGTTGTCTAACTTAAACTTCTTATAGTTAAGTATAAAATGAAATACAAATTCAATAAAATTATAAAGTTAACAGGCACTAAAAAACATAAACTATCAAAGTACTCTTTTGTACCACCAGTGCACAATACTAAAAATCGAATCACCTACGTTTAACTAAAAAAAATACCCAAATGACCACAAACCGGCCAACGGGCCGGATACAACACTAGTCATTATTATTCCTAAACCTGCTTCCACCAGCAAGGAAAGGAATAGCTTGATATAAAAAGGGCACAAGATAATAAAAAGGGCATGCAACAATCACTCCCCACTTCTTAGCCTTGGTTTGTATGAATCAATTAAAAAATGAGATAATTTGATTAATTATTTTATTTTCAAAATATGTCAATTCAAATTACATACACTTATCACAGACAATTAATTCTAATCGACTCGAAACGAGTCACTTCGAAATTCCGCACATCAGATTGCTTCATCTAAATTTTATGCTACCAAACAAGTTAGTGTTATTCAATTATCTCAAAACAAAACAATTAAATCAAATTGATTAGTTAAAATTTTTCATCAAAACCAACCCTCCCACAAATACATTATACATGCATGTAAACAACGCCCCTCCACCTAGGGGTGGAAATTGGGGTGGGTGTGGTTAACCGCCCCACATTTTGTGGGTAACCACACCCACAAACATAGAATTATGCTACCCACAACCCGCCCCACAGTGGGTAGTGGTTAACCACTATCCACTGCGGGTTGGTGCGGGTTGGATGTGGATACCCACAATAAATTTCCTTATTTCACCCTTTGGACTCGTATATGATAAACCTATCGGTCGAGTGAAAGAAAAAAAAAACAGATTGAGTTAAAACTAAAAAAAGAAGCCCAAGACATGGAACGGGCGAGGGTTCGGTATTCAGAACCTGCTAAGTAGTCAACCTCCCTCTCCAGTCTCCTCAGTTCACTTCACTCGCTTACTTTCTTTAGAAAATGCATATTGATAACGAGTATGAGTTGAAGGGATCTAATCTAGATATACATTGCATCTTTATCAACGGCATAACTCCTTTGCTTTTTTTATTCGAACTTTTAGGGATAAATGGAATTCTCTCCCAAGTTGCGGAATTAGCGTCCTCTTACACCAAAACAAATGCCTACATAAAAGAAAGTTAATAAAGTGTTAAATAAACTATAAACCACATTTATTGGTTTTGTTTTGTTATAAAATAGACATACATCACGCGAACAATGCTTATTTAATAAAAGTATCTCATACAAACACGTTGTATTGGTTTTGTTTTGTTTTATTAAATAAATATATATTTAATTTTAGAGCCTACTTTAATTTGTAGCATTCTACTTTTCACATAATGTAATATCACATAGTATATTAATAAATAAATATACTTAGTGTGGTTATTGTGGGTTAACCGCTATGGATAGTGGTTAACCACTAACCCCAAAAATCAATATTTTGCTACCCATACCCAACACACTATCCACAAATTGTAGGTATGGTAACCCACAATGTATGCGGTTTGGTGCGGTTTGCGAATTACCCGCAATCCACAAACCAAACTTCCATCCCTACGGCTCCACCCCTCCCTGAAACTTTCAACATTCACTTGGCCCTATGCATAGTTACAATTCCCACCTCCGACGCTCTTCTCCGATTTCTTAATCTGGGTTTTAATTTCTCTAGATCAATTGGGGTTGATTTATGGGTAAAAATTCAGAAATGGGTGGCGCTGGTAAACACGATTTGGGATTTGAAGAATGAGTTTGCGGATATATGGACTTGTCTGTTTGCTTATTATTCTTCCTTAAAGCTTTTTCTTTTTTTTTTCCCGGTAAGAACAGAGCATACTGTTATGGAACAATCCAAATACCACATCGATAATATAAGGAAAGGAATCCTTGTATATAAGTGTCCACCAAATTCATTAGTACGGGGCCTTTTGGGGAAGGAAACCCAAAAATAAATCCATGCGGACTTGGCCCAAAGCGAACAAGTGATATTAGAGCCGTGGTTGATCTTGGGTTATAACTGTTTTCACTGGTTTTGGGATTGCGCGGCTGGTTCGTGGTTTTATCTTTCTTATCTTCGGCTTCGATTTGGTGGTTCTTTATTGGGGAGAAATACCTCGGGTGCCACTGAACTTTTAAAATTGGGGGACGAGTACCACCGAACTACAAATAGGGCATCGGGTACCATCCAACTCTCTAAACTGTG